GCGCGGCGGGCGGCCTCTCCATCGTTCTGGCTGGCCCAGCTCGAGTACAGTCGCTGGGATTGGGAGATTAGCCGGCGAACAAACGGGCCGTAGACGCGCCGGAGAGCTGCTGCCGCCCCGGGCGTGGAGCCGTTCCACGCAGGTCCTTTTGGAGACGGCGGACGGAGGCTGTGGCGACGGCAAAGAGGTGGTTTGATTGTATAATTCATATCTCCCTCCGCTTCTTCTACCACTGTAATGTCTACCATCATTTTTCTACCACTGCAACGTTTATCACAAATGCGACGACAGACAACAATGTGGCGACACTACGGTGGGGATAGGCAGATCCTTCCGTGGCTCGGGGTCCAGTCGCCTTTTGTGTCCGGGTCGGCCGAGTCGATTGCGCCTGGCACTGGTCTGTCCCAGTCCTGGAGGTCGATCCCGTGGCCTTGTGGCGCCCTCACTGAGAGACTGGCACCAGTCCAGGGCGGAGATGCTCCCCGCTCCTCTCAAGATGCCCGTTTTTAGCGCCGGGGTATCGATTTGAGCTGGAAGGGCCGTCGGGGAGTTTTATGACCAGTATTGATCCAGTTGTCAGTAGACGGACGGACGCGCCGGCCGTTCCGCCGCCTTGACCGGAAGCACGGCCAGCCGAGACCACGTGGAAATGTGACCATGGATGGGACGGAGATTGGATATCGGAGGACATTTGGAAGTGGACGTGGCCAGGCAAGGTCGAGCTGAGACGGTATGTGGCCGGTTTGGGCGGGTGTGAGCCGACCTCTGATAGTCGCTGCTAAATTCTCACCCCCCTTATAATGGCCTTGCTTACGCACAAATTTAGGCATTCCCTAGTGTTGCTTCGTGTGATGTCTTTCTTGCTTCCGTAGGTGTTCTTTCTCGTTGTGCTCTATCCACTTTGCTGTACGATGCCAGGATATCGCGCATTGTTACTGTGGGCTTTGCTGGACTCGATCGACTGATCCTCAGGATTCCACAGGCTTCTGTCAGACCACAGTGCTCTACCGTCAGGTGAAATAGGTTTGTTTGGACTATTCGAAATAGGAGCTGTTTGCTGATAAGGGCGGCATTCTGTTGTCCAGGTCATGGTTTGGAATGGAGCCACATACCAGTTCGGCCTGGATTGACATTGGTCTGTGTGTGCATAACTGAACTGGACTGAAGTGGTTTTCGAGACTATAGGCTGGCTGTACATAGATACCTGGCTAGAATTCAGCTAGACCAGTGTCAGGCAACATTACACTAGGCCTCTGCGGACTCGGCTGTGTACTACGACGGACGGGCCGAACATCGTCGACCGATTTGTTCGGTACGGTCCGGTGGTAATCGGACGCCTCGGCAGCATTCCAGCGCGGCGCGGCACGTGTTGTGTTCGGTTGATCCCCCAGTATTGATCACCAGAGCCGTGGAATGCAGCCGCCCACGACTGCTGCAAATGCCGACAGTGCGGTGGGAACGGCGCTTCACTAGCTGGCAGGGGCGAAGCTTCCTATACAGTTGGTGGGGCGGCTGCCCCACCAACTTTGTATTTTGCCCCACCAATGAGCGTTTTGCCCCACCAACTTTAGGTGATTTCTAAGACTCTGTTGCTTTGCAAATTAATCTTTTTCGCATCGAAGAGCTTTGAAATGTCTGTTTAATACAAAATAATATGTCTGTAATGATAGGAATTGATTCAGTGTGGCATTTCATTCAACTTTATAATCGGACATTGTGGGTTTGACGACTTTTTGCCCCACCAACTTCCCTGGAAAAGCTCCACCCATGCTAGCTGGGCTGCCGTGGTATTGCCGGTAGAGTCTGTGTGGGTTGATCGGTAACAGTTTGACTCTGTCTTCAATGCTGAGTGCCGTGACGTGACTGAAAAGAGATGCTTCTGATTTATTCCGCGCTTTTTCAAACTATGATCAATGGTCATGTCTTCAAAAAGAGGAATGATGACTACCTTGACTTGAACAGGCATGGCCTATTCTCACAACGGCATCCAACAGGAGCCTGTGAACTGAAGAATCGCCCGACTATGCGAAGACCCTAGAAGTCGAGCCCACTAGCGGAATGTATTACACTGCTAAATATGGGGAATGCCGTCAGCTGACTGATTTGGCTCGCTATTCGGAGAAACTATGAAGCCCTATGCCCGCGACTCGGAAAATGTTCCTGATATCTAAGAGAACAATGTCTGTAGCACTGCTTTTGGTGTAATTCATGGTCCGTGGAGGCTCTTTTGGTGGCCGTTGATCTAAAAGCCGTGGTCTTTTCCAGTTCAGAATAAATAACACATGTGCTGGCGTCCTGGGAAATAACAAGAGAGGGAACTGAAAGCCGGCACTGTATGCAGTATTCAAGACAAGACAACTGTTGTATACGTTATACAATCTACAGCAACGATAGTTTTTTTTTTTACTGTTGGTTATTTTCGCTATTGGGAGAGCTCCTGGACATGACTTGGAGGACCTCCTCAATAATACAGTTTGGAATTTGATGTGGATTTATTTAGCTTCATTGACAAATATATTTGAAAACTAATGACCTGGCTAGCTTATGTCGGCAAATATTTCAAGCGATTTGCAGGCATTTAATAATTTCATGGAATTCATGCTCCCATTTACATTATTGAGTGGTTCAAACTATAACTGTTCTCTGTTGGTGCTGGTTCCACTTTGTCTGGCTCGAGGAATATCAGCTCAATGTTGGATCAAGACGTTCTGGCGAAATGTTGTAAGGAATTAATTATTAGCTCTGCCGATGTTCGCCGAATGCCCGTCTTCTTGCCCATTTCGTTATCCAATCGTTCTAAGTTTTCGTTAGTAGATAAACTATGAAATGTGGATATGTTACTTACATTCATCATCGTAATCCATCTCAAACATTTTTGTCTTTTCATTTATGAAGTAATTTGGTCATCTACGTACGAACTATGACGGCTGATACAGCGCCTCCCATACCGCGCACTTGAACTTACCAACCGGCCGCTAGGTGCCACTAGTAGCAGACGCCTGTAGGTATGCTGTGCCGCATGGCTCGACGGCCGAAGCCGCTCACTAACGTGGGTACTAGAGTTGCAAAATTTCCCTACCGCACTGCCGGCATGCCGGTAATTTTTCACTACCGCAGGTTTTTTCGTGGTATTTGGCATATTCTGCCGGTAGCATGCCGGTATTTTTGATTTTGCACCAAAAAAAAAAAAAAATTATCAGCAAATGATTCAAACTTTGGACACTAAGAGGCTATTGAATTGTAATAACAGCAATCTTAGCCACTGCAAAATACATTTTGTGGTAGAAGTTCCATTGCTAAGGGTAATTGTACACATGAACCTCAGCATTTCACAGGTTTGGCTCTAATAAGAATTGTCAAGAATCTAGGTACTGTGGTCTATCAAAGGAAGAATACTCATTCATGTTGCAAAAGCACAACCAATTAGTAAGTCTAATGGTAGGTAATAGGTATAATGCAATAAAATAAATTAATGTTGATGGCAACATTCCCTAGGCAAAATGCAGAATCAAAACAACACAAAACACATTGTTTGGAAACTGGCCTTGAGTCCTGAGATGTGGTCTGAGATACTCTACAAAGAATTTGACACTGAAAATCCAGCTGAAAAGGCAGGTGTTAGGAAGCCCTGAGCCTAACTTCGGTCCCAAAATGAAATGAAAATGAATTAAACTGGCATTTTGTCTTATCTTTACAAGATAACGCAACATGCAGACCAAATGAATACAAAGTGGCGCAATATGATCAGCTGATCAAGCAACCAAGGATTGACTTTTAAGATCCTCTGTCCCCTAAAAAAAGGATGTAAGCTGATGACGTAATATTTATTCATATGCCCTTTTGGTTGAATTACTCAAGAGAAGTGGATTTTCTTGTAGTGAATAACACTCACAGTGTTGATTTTATTGGATTTTAATATCGTGTTGGATGATTTTTATCAAAAAAAAATCATTCACGAGGCAGTAGTTTGCAGTCCTAAAACTTTTTTTGCAGTGTTTTAATCAGCTGGTTAAAAACTGTGTTATGGCGCATATGTTTCGATCCTTTATAACCTTGTGTTTGTTCCTGCGTTTGAGAAGGGAGAGGATATTATATCGTTTTTATACATATTATTTGGTGACTTCTCAGGACAAGTGAGTTATTAACACATATTTTTACATGATTTGTATCTTACTCACGAGCCAGCAAGCCATGGCGGATAGGAAAAAGCAGATGTTGATCTCGCTTCCTCAGTTAGGAACATGGCTTAATCTGTAGTTTTTTTATATTGTGATTTATGACTAGCTATAGTTCATTTTAGGGTAATGTGGAAAATAAGAACGCTTGTGGTAAATGTGATTGTTGCTCACTGTGCAGTCTTCAGGAACACATTTCAGTAATTCAAGTTCTTTTTGACCTTGCTTTTTTGATGAATGTGTGTAGGCTTTTTGTAGGCAATACCTCTTTGATTCCAGGTGATATTTTAACAGCTGTAAACTGGAATTGAGTTTCAAAATTGTGGTATTTGTGGGGCTAACTCAGCCAAAATCAGGCTGCTGGAGTTTTGGTTGGACAATGGGTGGCTGCTGGGTGGGGCGGTAACTGAAATTGCCAAAATGTGGCATCTCATGTAGGGGTAAGCCAGAATCAAGAATGCAGGTTTTTAAGTATGCCGGTAATTTGGCGGTGTTTTTGCTTGGGGCGTGGTAGCATGCCGGTATCCCAGAAAATTTTTGTGGGGCGGGGCGGTGCCGGTAGCAGCCCATAGGGAAAACTTTGCAACTCTAGTGGGTACAGGTAGCACGCGGGGCTGCTGCTGACAAATATTTGAATAGGGCAACCATTGTAACCAATCTACAGGGAATTTTTATGTATCTTCTGCGTACTATTTACCTACTATGAATTTACTATGAATCAATCACGGGCATTGCTATACCTGTCATCTGCGCTATGTGTTGCTCCATCCCTCCGTCTTCAGTGCGTCATTTGCTGACCGCATCCCTTCGCCCCTGTTCCAGCAGAAGCCGGTGCTGAAGGTGACCACGGCCACGCAGACGGGCGAGGCGGTGGACGAGGTGTTGCGGAACAACGACTCGACGTTGATCCGCCTGCTAGTCACCGGGCAGGACCTCACCAACGGCTACAAACTCTGTCCGGACGGTCAGGTGAGAGAAGGGCTGCGGGGAGTGCAGGTCTTGGGGCATGGTCGTCAGTCAGACGTATGGTAGTGAGCAGCTCAGGTATGTGAGTGCTCGGCCATGTGCTGAATTCCCCGTCTATTGTACTGCTCAGAGTTCGACCTCTAAGTGTGGTTCTTGGCACGGAAGCTGGTGTAGGATAATGGTGCCGTAGCTCGTACGTCTGTCCACAGTCCGAGGTACTATGTGAGAGTGGTGATGAAAGCCACCGGTGATTTGGGACTCAGCAAATGTAACGAGCGACTGTGCACGGAATGATTCTTTATCCATGGATTCAATCTGTTGTCCAGGTTGTGTTTTATAAGGGAGCACCTTTCCGTGTCACCACGGCCAGTTTACTTTCATACCGACAGTTTGGTTTCGCTATTGGTAGATCACATGAAGCAAGTAGCCACTGTCCGCAGTTGCCATCATCGATCTACTCCCGGTTTCCTCCCGAGATTCAGTGGCTTCGTTTATTCAGAACTTATTCTTTGGAGCGCTCTTGCGAGGAACATTATGAATATTAGAGAAAATATATGAAAAAATGACCTCTCCTCGACATTTAAAATTATTTGAATAGCCAAATATTACTGTATTGATATTTCGACCAACAGGTCTTCTTCAGAATAAGACAGTGTACACAAGTGTACGAGAATACAAACGTATTCTCGTACACTTGTGTACACTGTCTTATTCTGAAGAAGACCTGTTGGTCGAAATATCAATACAGTAATATTTGGCTATTCAAATAATTTTAAATGTCGAGGAGAGGTCAATTTTTCATATATTTTCTCTCTCTAATAGGCTTCGATTATTAGTCGATCCGTTTCCTAGTCCTCTCCTCGTCACCCCGTTTCTCCTTCCTTTCTCCAGTCGTTCCGTGTTTCCGTCCGTCCCCGGTCACCCCGTTTCTGAGACCGATGGCGGGTCGATCGGCTCCTGTCGCCGCTGATGGGTTTCACTGGTCGTGATTGGGTTCGTCTGGGTGGAACAGAACTCTATCGATGGCGACGCGCCTTTTTCGGGGCCGTCCTGTCTGAGACGACGGTCAGGTCGGTTCACGGTCAGGGGTGCGGGTCCCCGATCAATGACCATGGGGACGCCGCGCGACCGCGGCCAGCGATCAAAGCCGGGCGGCGGGACGTGCCAACTGCCCCCTGATGGCCACTCTCCTACGGCGGCGGGTGGGGGTTTCGCTGATGGCCTGCGTATTAAAGACGCCCGCGCACCGCAGGGCTGCCGCGGCGTCATTTTTGACGGACCGAGTCAATCGCCGAAGATTGCCGTCGCTGGGAAATGTTCGGAAACTATGCGAGACGCGACGCCACCCAGCAGTGTGATCGAGCCGACTTAGCTTGATGGTCTGAGGCCCAAGTGAGCGATCAGACGGGATTTGTTGAGCGGTACTCTATCATCGTCCGAAGTTTGCCCGGCCGGACTCGGTGAGACTCCACAGCGCCCGCGGAAGTTTCTCGATGAGGTCTTCTGTACTGGAGTGTGTTTTCGCTGCTCCAATTGGGTGTGGCGTGGCGAGCCAAGTCGTCGTCGTCGTCTCTCATCGCCGCACGAGATGAAGTTGGATCGTAAGCCGGTAGTTTGACGATTCGCGCGGCTCGCACACAAGAGGAAGGCGTAAGGCTAGATGAGGTTGGTGGCTGTAAGATCCTAACATCGGCGGAGCCAGGAGATGAGCTGAAACGGAAATGCGCTTCTATAGAGAAAGGTAAGATGAATTTTGCAGGGAGACTTTATGGAAAACAGCCTACAACCGGAAGTTGAATGATGAAGCGCGCATTTGAATTCAGATTAACCTTCGCCCCAGTGGGGGGGGGGCATATGTTACCACCCTGTCGCGTTTTTTGCGTATAAATAAAAAACCGCGGCGCGTAGCGCCGCGCCGCTTGGGGTAGCTTTTGGTACATCAATTTTTGACAATGTGTGAAATTTTTGACCCCAGGTCATGTCAGGTCAGGTCACCAGGTCAAGTTAACTGACCAAGCCTAAAAAAAAGTTTGCAATCATGTCCAGCCTGCAGTGTTTGTCAGAAAGGTTTTAAACTTGGTGGATTGCATGATGTTATGGGCGCCTACAATTTGTATATCTCGGATTTTTTATATCCGTGACCTAAGGTCAGGTCAGTGGCGTGACCTTTCCATTACAAGTCAATGGAGAAAAATGAAAATGCCTCTAGATCCGTGTGTACGCATCGGAACAGTCCAAATATTTCAGAATCACAATGATTTAGTCCACTCGTGATGACCAAGGTGTCATTTTTGCTGATAGCCTCTAGACAGGTCATCCGAGGTCACTTGAGGCTACAAACAGTTTTTTGCCAATAACTCGCGATTGGAAAGAGATAGAACGCTGGGGATGGTCTCATTGTGTTTGTCTTGTTGAGACGCATCGACTGATATGCAGCATGACCTTTTCCGGTAAGGTCACCTTGATCAGGTCACCTTGACCTGAGGTCAAATTTTAAAGTTGACCTTTCAAGGTCAAATTATAGTTCATTCGACGCGTCTCGGCGAGGGGAACACGATTCTGGCAATAGAAATGCCGTGGCTTTTTGTAGTCGAAAGTTATTGTCGAAAAACACTTTTCGTAAAAACAGCTATTTTTGGAGTTTTTGCCCTCTGGAGGCTAAACCGTTGACCTGAGGTCAATATTGATAAAAAACCTTTTGAAAAGAAGAGTTCAAAAGCTATCTATTGCTCTTCCATGCGTTTTTCTAGCTACCATAGTTCCTGAGATAGCGGCATGTTTTCTGAAAAATATCATGACAATTGGCAAATTTTGACCTTTGATGACCTCTGGTGACCCCAATATTGCTCTAAGGTGAAAAATGACTGAGATACTTTCAAACGTACGCATTGAAAGCTATCGACTGCTTTTTACCGCGTCTTTCTAGCCCTCTTAGTTTTTGAGTTAGAGGTGGGTGGTAACATATGCCCCCCCCCCCCCCCACTAGGGCGAAGTTGGCTGAGACCGCCACTGGGGCGCGGGTTAATCGAATGTAGGTAAAATATATCTAATAAAGCTATGGCTGTGTACCTATTGGTAATCTTCTCTACACCTCAGGTGTAAACCCTACCAGTGTCAGTAGCTGAAACAGTGTCAGTTCGTCTCCCGCGCCAGGAAACGAAATAAGACAAAGCTGCTCTCAGAGAATGTCCCAATTTCCGCCACGCCGCCCTGTGCCGCCCTATTGTACCATTGTGTGTTACAGCGGCCCACGCACTGACCTCTCCGTGACCGGGGCCATTTCGGCGGCGGAGCGGCTGTTTTGAAGGCGGCACTAGTATTGATTACCGGTCATCGGGGCAGTAACTGTTCTGACAACGGCGCTAATGGCACATCAAACAGATCAAACCCGCCACCGGATCTGACAATGGCACTCGGTAGTGTCTTTCTTTCGATAGGTTTTCTTATAAGTTACCTTTTTTAAAGATGCCTTTTACATAACTCCGGCTGCTTCAGTCCATTTTCAATGGTTTTAAATCATTATCAATCTCAAAAAGCACAATAGATGCCCGTATTATTGCTACTTGAACCTCGCCCCTGAAGCCACTGAAGATACAGTCTACATTAGTATAAGTGGCGACCCGGCCATCACTTTGCCACGCCCTGCCTGCGCCAGCACAGCACCGCTATGCCTGTGGTACGATATGTTTTGTTGTGTTGTGGCGATAATTGGCTCTCTTGTGACATTGTTTGCGGCCTGGGGTGGCTGCTGGCTCCACACGACATTGCACTGTGCACTACATCGGACAACGACTAAAGGTCCCTCGAGTAGGGCGGTGTTTTGGACAGGGCGATGGAAGCTTTTGACCATGTTTTTCATAGCAAAAGTTTAGTCGCTATTAATTTTACCCCTAAGTTGTATCAACCGTTTTTGTGATTTGCTTTAAATGTTGGATTTTTCGCATCATCATTCCTTCCCATTTCCGGCCCCTGCGTAAACGTATTTCATCTATTATGTGCCCACCGTCGCGTTACACGAGTTGAAATGGCTCATATTTTCTCATCACTGCTAAATTTATCGTCACTTCCTTTTTTGCTGTTGTTCCAGCACTGCAACGAAACCCTTACCAAATAGAATGGCTGTTTCAATCATAATACAACCCGTTAAGACCAGTCATTGCGATCATTTTAAATAATGTTTGTGTACATATACCAGACGCGGCCTGGTCGGGGGATAGCGTCTGCCGGCGAAACGACCGCTTGTAAAAGTCTCTCCGTCTACCCGCGCATACTGGCTCGGTCACGCGTCGGCTGTCGCCCCGCCAGGCCGCGTGCGAACTAGGGAGAGGCGGCGAGAGGAAGCTTTTCGCCCAGGCGGCAGTCAACAGCTGGCGCAGTACCAAACAAACTGTTCTGCGGGGCCGAGGCGAGATATTGCCTCCGGAAGATTAGTGAACCGTGCGTGCGCCGCGGAAGAAAAGGGCGTAGGCGGGTTTGTTGGGGTCTGTGAATGTCGATGCTGTTGTTGAACCAGACTAAGTGTGGGTGCAAGCTTTCTCCGTGGTTGTAGTTGTATGGGGCTTTAACTTATATATTGGTGTGGAAGCTGATCAAGCTGTGTATCACCAATTTTGTAGGAACCGTCATTGGGTCAATCATTCTTCGATTTCTTTTTTGCCAGCTTATTGACGAAAACAATAGTAAACCGACGTTATAGGTGTTCCTAAATCAAGAACTATAGTCGTTTATTTAGGAATACCCATACGTCTGCGTAATGCGACTAGCAGTCAGTTTTAAACAAAGCGGTGCCACTTGCCAGCAAGATAGGGCGCTCAGAGACCCACAATTCTTCCGGAGGAAATAAATGCCTTCTGTTCAACGACACTATTGGGCCCTGAATCACCATTGGGCATCATTAATTTCAGATCGACCTGCCTGGTATTTCATGAATCCCACCCACACAAACGTCCCGCTGGAATACCTCTACAATTGTCCATTAGTAATGAAATGAACCAGCATGCAAG